GTTAATATAAATATTTTTATATAAGTTACTATAAAAAATAAAAATATAATAATCACTTAATATTAAGGAGAAAAATAAAGTGAGAATCAATTAGATAATTAATAATTATAGAAGGTGATAAAAATTGAATAATTAAATTGGATAAATTTTTTAACAAAATTAAAAAATTCCAATCCTTTGAATGGTTTGGTACAGAGCAAACTTAGTTAGCTTTTTAATCTGTGTGAATTGGACTCTAACCACCATCACTAATCCGAAACCTCTAAATAAAAACTTTTACTAGACACCTACTTCATAATGGTGTAAAAATAAATAAATTTATTAAATATTTATCCTATAATCATTTGGACAAAACCGTTAGCCACTACCCTAAACTGCATACTTATTGAACCCCTACAGAAAGTCAATGAAATTTTAATAATTTCCACTAACCAGATTCTTCTTTTTCTATTTTGACGTAAGATTACTATACAACTGAAAGCTGAAATTACAGTTTCACTTCACTACCTAAACTTTTTCAGAATTTGATAATTTAATGATAAAATTTCACTAAAACTTGTAATTAAGGAAATGGGTTGTTTCAGAACAATCAATGCATCGTTGACTTTTATTTCCAATGCTTCCCTTCTAACTCATCAGATAATGAGAAATTTGAACATATTGAAAATTTGAAGAAGGATAATTTTAGTAATTAAGTGTTTTATATATAAAAATGATATTTATTTGACATGTGGTGTTGTAAGATGTAAATATGTTGTGTCATTATATGCATAGAAGTTATAACAAATTATTATGTATAGAAGAAATTAAATCATGTAAAAGAGAGAAAAGAAACTGACAAAAGAATGGATTGAAATATTACTGAATATATTAAAATTTTTATATAAGAAGTTTTTATATAGAGATTTAGGTAACCTACTTACTAAGAAACCCTAAATCTAATATGCTAACAATAATATTTTATTACCATCAATCATGTGGTCCGTTGGTAGAGTTACATCTGCTCTTAACCACAAGTTTAGGATTCAATCCCTAGTCTCAACATATTAAATAATAATAATAATAATAATAATATTTTATTTATCCATCTAAAAACTCACATATAGTACACTGAAATAAGAAAAGTATAGCATCCCATATAGGCCCTTAGGTCCTTAACCAAAGAAAAACAAAATATGACAACTTATTTTAGTAATCATATTAAAAAATTATTTTTTAAATTATTTACATCTTAATCATTACTTTCTTTAATCCTAGAATAAAGAAGTAAATAAGAATTGTGTTAAGAAGTGTCACTTTGAAAATGATATAAAGTTTATCTACACTAAACACATTATATACTTGAAGTGGTAGTTAGACCATATATTTGGATAAATTGTTCTCGACTTTAATAATATGTAGATGTAGAATTCAAATTATCATATGGTGATTGAAGTGAAATTTGAGAACAATTAAGAACTTTGATATAAGTGAAGTAATATTAAGTGTTATTAAATAGGGAATTAATTTAATAAAAAATTATATATGCTTTGCTTATTAAGAAATTTTAAATGATATTAATTTAATTTAATTAGTTTTCAACTTTTTCAATGAATTTTCTTTTAAAAGTTCACTAGATATTTATTTAATATTTTAAAGGGATTTTAAAATGTTCATTAAGTATTTATTTAAAATTTATTAAAAATTTAAAAAATTTTTAATATAATAAACTAAAACATAATTAAATTTGGATTTAAAGTACTGTATAATTAAGTTGTCGAATAATTTGAAATTAAAGTTGTCAAATCTGTTGAATTGGATAGAAATGATAGTTATTGGGTTTCGTTATTTTTCTTTTTGTTGAATCAAATTGGGGAATTAAATTCCTCATAATTAAAAATTATAATTATATTTATAATTGGAGTTAGGGTTCTTTAACCTCTTCAACTAACTTTTTTTTTTTAAGGTTTATTAGATATTTACTTAAAATTTTATAAGTATTTTAAAAGGTTTATTGAGTATTTATTTAAGGTTTATTGAAAATTTTAACAATTTTTATAAGTTTGAGAAAAAGTGCAAATAAGAATGCTAATTTTACAATTTTTTCTATTTAAAGATGTAAAATTTACTGAATCATAATTAAGACAATAAATTTTTAACATTTTGTATTTAAGAATATCAACTTTGCCCCCCCTTTTTTTATTTAAGAATACTAACTTTGCATTAGTTATATCAATATTACCATATAATTAATACTTAAATAAAAAAAGATAAAATTAGCATTTTTAAATTAAATAAAGGTCAACAATTGACCACCTTAATTAGAAACCAACAAAATTTGTATTTTTAAATAAAAAAAGTTGTAAAATTGACATATTTATTAGCTCCTTTTCTCTTATAAATTTTGAGGATAGTGTACTGCCAATTGTACTTTTAAACGTTAACATTTATAACCCTTTAATCAAAGAACTTTATTTATTGATATATATTTAATGATATTAAATTTTGTATAATCAACAAACTGATTAAGCCTATTAGATTAGTAGGAAAATTGAAAAATATAATTTATATAAATAAAATATTCAATACAACAGTTAATATTAATTAAAATATAAGTTGTTAGATAGGTCCTCTAAAACAAATTTGGGAGAACGGCTTTGAAAAGACTTTTCTTGTTTTATAATATAGTAAGATTAATTGATGTATGTATTTTTAGGATTATATAATTGAATTTGGATAAAAATTTAATAATTTAGTAAGATGTTAAAGTCAGACTTAACTGGGATTATATAATTGAAGTTTAAAAAAAAATGTATTATTGTATTTGTAATTGAAGTTGAGGACAATTTGATCAAATTATAATGACCAAAACCCCTATTTGCACCCTCTATTTAATTCTTTTTCGTAGTCAATACCTTCTAAAATTTTTCCTCATTGACACCTTTCACTTTTTAAAACCCGTGAAAAACTCAATATTTTAGTAAACCATCACGGCACCATTAAAAAATTCACTACGTGACATTGTGGCGTTATTAATCCAACATGGATACTTTCTTTTATATAATTTTGTATGCACATGTGGATGCTTAAAAAAATCTAAGGAATTAAATGAATTAAAACATAATTAATTTCTTCTATCTTCTTCTTATCCTTATCCTTATCCTTATCCTCCTCCTCATCCTCAGCATCATCTTTATCTGGGTTCCACAAGCTAAGTTCCTTGCGGGAACCCTGTTGCTAGTTCCTTGCGGGAACCCTGTTGCTGGGTTCCTCATGGAACCTAGATCTGGGTTTCGCCTCGCTCCCTAGGCTTCTTCTCCTTCTCGCCTTTTTCCTCCCCCGCAAAAGGTAAGGTACGATCGACCATGATGGATCTACCTCTATTATATGGCTTCTACGATTTCAAATTCTGTGTCCATGTCCTGCTTCCCTTATTCTTAGCTTCTGTTTGTAATTTTACTTGTTTGCTACAATTCAAAATTGCGATTTTGTGAAAAATATGGACAATTTTTACTAGATCTTACAATCGCACTTTTCTTCCTTGTGGTTGGTACCTTTTTAGCTATTGTGGTTTAGCTATTGTGGTTTATCTTTTGGCAAATTCAAGTCTTTGAATGAGCTCAATTTGTGCATTTTGAATGATTTGTTGAGGAAGATTTAGTTTTGGGTTCTAGATTAGGGTTTAAGACTGAGAAGACAAAGACAAAGACAACGGGGTTTCTACAGATTTGTTTTGGGTTTTAGGTTTATGCACACGTGGTATCCACGTGTGCAGAAAATAAGTCACATCATCAAAAAAGGGATCCACATTGGATTACTAACATTACATAGTGCCATGTCAATTTCTGAGTGCCACGTAGTGCATTTTTTAACGATGCCATAACGGCCCGTTAAAATATTAGGTTTTTCACAGGTTTTAAAAAGTGAAGAGTGTGAATAGGGAGGGAAAATTTTAGAAAGTGTTAACCACAAAAAAGAATTAAATGGAAGGTGCAAATAGGGGCTTTGGCCAATTATAATTGAAGCAATAAGGTTAAAATCTAATTGAAGTTAATCCCCCATGGCGGGGAGGAATATTCCTCCCCGCGGGGTGGAGATGTGGGCATTTTTTCTCTATTAAATTACGTGAGGAATTTTTCTCGCCTCACGAGAATCCTATCCTCGCAAAAAATTAAAAAAACATATAAATTAATTTTATTTTAAATTTATTTCAACACATTATAACAATACATAATATACATTTCAAACCTAACCCAATCCAATAAAAATTAAACTTAACACAAGTATGTTAGTTTAGCTATTTATGTTGGATTGATTTTTATTTATATTTCAAACAAATCTTTTGCTTTAGCTATTTATGTTGAATTAATCTTTATTTATGTTTGGATAATTTATATTTGATTTTATATTTAGATAATTTTAGTTAATTGTACTTGAATTTTTAGAATTTTGTTCATTGCAATTAAATATTGTTAATTATATGTAAAAAAATTTATATTTTGATATAAATTGACACAAGGATCCGTGTCCTTGCCATTCATGGGGACGGGGATGGGAGGGACTCCTCAACCCCGGAAGGCCCCGTTGCCATCCTTAGGGGGTCACAATCAATGATTTTATTCCAACCACTAACGATTGATATTTGGTAAATTTATTTATTTTGAAATTATTATAAACTAAGTATCTAGTAAAACTTTTATTTAATAGTTTGAAACTAGTAGATAACGGTTAGAGTTCAAATCACTAACAAAGTAAAAAAGCTACTTTAAGTAATTTTTTGTACCTAGAATTTTTTAAGTTTATTGATAAATTTATCTATTTTAATAATTTAATTTTTTGTCACTGTTTTTAATTAATGCTTATCGAATTAGTTTCAACTTCATTTTTTATCTTTAATAACATTAATTGACTATTATATTTTTATTTTTTATATTAATTTATCATAAAAATTATATTAACTTAATAAATAAAATTTGCTAATTAGACAAAATGATTAAATTTTTTTTTATTTAAAAGTAAAATAATTTTTCTTTTGTTAAAAATAAAAATGAGTGTGTGATTACACTATTATAATTTATTTTATTTATTTATTATTTTTATTTTTATAAATTAATAATTTTAAAAATAAAAAATTTAAAAGAAAATATACATTTGATTGCTTTTAAACATATCCTTATTAATCATTTTACATTAAATAACAACCATTACTTATTGTATAAACAAATAATTATATCAATTTAAATCCATTATCTACTATTCACAATCTTCTATTCGTTATCTGCCACCCTTATCTACTAACTACCACCCACCACCTGCCACCCGACACCCATTATCACTATTTACCATTCACTATTTGCTATCCATTATTAATTGAATTTTAACCACTATACCAAACATACCCTTAATAAAATATAAAACTATATATTAAAGTTAATTTCAATAAATAGAGCTAATTGGGGATCAATTTTTTTTAATAAGTTGTCTTTAAGAGATTTATTAGATATTTATTTAAGATTTTATGGGATTTATTGAATATTTTAAACGGGTCATTAGGTTTGGTATTTAGGATTTAAAAAAGTATATCACATATTTATTTGAAATTTCAACAAATTATAATATACTACAGTAGGAAAATAAGAGAAGATTGCACTAGAACAAGCATGGACCGAGCACTTGCCCATGCAGATAGCATTTCTCTTTTGAAAATAAAGGGGTAATTAGCTATCTTAATTTACCGTAGTTTATAGTATTAAACGATCAAATACGTCTTCGTACTTATGGTTATCTTTTACAGATCCTTTCCCAAATTCGGAAGTCATAAAATCGAGGAATCTCTGAACCACCAGAGACCAGAGTTGCATATTTGCCTTTTCCGTTTAATTTTGGTGGTCATGTAGCTACGTGCCTTGCTTCCATTGTTTGAACTGCCTTCTCCATTGATAGTTTTCTCTGTAGTTTGCTTTACCAACTATAAATTTCCCAAAACCTTAAAAGTTAAAAATAAGAAAAATGAAAAGGAAAGCAATTATATAAGCACGTAATATTTGTGGCATTTTGCTGACAAAGTTTTTGCAAAGGTATTTGGTGCAGCATGTCTCAGAATAAGTTACGGGCCAAACTCAAGATTCTGTGTCAACAAGATGCTGACCTGGATGATGAGAAAGATTGTGTGGAGCGCCATCGCAAGTATTACGAAAGCAGTGGAGACGAGGATAAACACAAGAACTGGTTGGGACGAATAGATTCGGCAAAAAAATTAGGTCTTGATGATGGAGAACAACATAAGAAGCATAAGAAGCACAACTGTCCCTTTTTGCTGTGTCTTGATCCCAACTCTACTTACCAACGTAGCAAGGCGGCAGAGCAGCGTTGCAAGAAAATTGGTGCACTTGTGCAAGAAGCTCGTAGATTATTTGAGGACATCTCACTTGGAGATCAAAATGAGGCAGTTGATCGTTTCGAGTACTTTAATTCGATAGAGGATGTTTTGGACAAGATTTTGGGGGCAGTGCAATGTCCCAGCATCAACACCATAAGGGTGTTCGGGGAATCTGGTACAGGGAAGACCATGCTCGTCAGAGAAGTGAAGAGAATAGTCCGAAAACAAAAGTTATTTGATGCAGTTGTTATGGCATCTGTGAACGGGAACCCTACAATCCAAGATGAAATTGCTCGTGACTTGGGTCTTTCTAATGAACTTGCACTTCAGGAAGCTTCCAATCAAGCAAAGGTAATAAGGCTACCAATAAAGAACGTCCTCTTAATCTTGGACGACATTGGGGAGCCAGAAATATATTGGAAGTTGCGTGAAAAACTTCCTTTGAAAGATAAGAACCAGAACAGGTTATTATCTTACAAAATTTTGCTGATTACTAGAGATAGCAGCGTTCTTTTTGATTTATCTGAAATACAGTTTGAGATTAAACCATTAGAAGAAGAAGACGCATGGACGCTGTTCCAGAAGATAGCCACTTACCAAACTGAAAATCGTAGTTTACCATTTTATGCAAAAGATATTTGCAAGAGGTGTAACGGTTTGCCCTTTGCTGTTTCAATACTTGCAAAGGCCTTGAAAAGTGGAAAACTAAGGCAGAAGACTGCTCTGCAAAAGCTACCAGTAACTCCGGCCCTTGATTTTCGTTTATTAAGAATTTATGATTGTTTGCAAAGCTCCAACGTCCAACAAACTTTCTTGCTTTGTAGTCTAATGGGTCATAATGCAGCTGTTCAAGACTTGTTGAAATATACGATGGGCATGGACTTATTCCCAGCAGTCAAATCCGTGGAGGAAGCACGAGATGCATTACTGAATTCGATGACTAGACTCAGAAATTTTTCTTTTTTACTGGATAGGGGTGGCAATATGCATTTTGATATGCATGATCGTCTCATGATTTTTGCCAAATCAGTTGCTTTGGGAGTAGTTGGACTGAACAACTGGAAGGAAATGGAAAAAATCAACTGGATTTATTTATCAAATACTAGTCAACTTGGAATAGAGTTGAACTGCCCGAAGCTCACTTTCTTTCATTTGTCTAAAGAGGATCCTTCTAAACCAATTCCACCAGGCTTGTTTACAGGAACTGGAGGGCTTAGAGTCCTGGGTTTGACTAAAACTTGCTCAATGCCTCAATCAATTTCCCTTCTAAATGACCTGCATACCTTGCGTCTGGATCAAAGTGTGTTAAGAGATGCAGACATGGGTGCAGTTATAGGAAAGCTATTGAATTTGCAAGTCCTCAGCCTTGTGGGATGTGATCTCGAGGAGTTGCCGGAGCAAATAGGGCAACTAGCTGAGCTGAAGTTGTTAGATTTGAGTGATTGTACCAAACTCAAAATAATTCCACTAGGTGTCTTGTCAAGGTTGTCCAGATTAGAAGAACTGTATATGAGAAACAGCTTCAATCAATGGGCGATGGAGGTTGTTAAGGAGCAGGGAAAAAAAAATGCTACCCTTTCTGAGTTGAAGCAATTATGGAAGCTAACTGCTATAGAGGTACGAATTAATATTCGCAATATCGAGATGATTATAGGAGGCTTGTTCTCTGAAAATTTGACAAGATACAAGATTTTCCAAGGAGATATGTGGCATTCTTGGGATAGTTCTAGTGGAAGTTCAAAAATATTGAAGCTAGGTGGAAGATTTTGTTTTGAGCCTTCAGTTAAGAAGTTGCTAAAGAAGACAGAGGAACTACATTTACAGGGGACTAGGGATGTCCCGGCTGTTAATGATTTAGATGAGGAAGATTTTCAAAACTTGAAGTATCTCTTTATCCAAGATGCTCGGAATGTTGAATCTATTTCATGGAAGCCTGCATTTCCCGTATTGGAGGAATTAGTTCTTCGTAATTTGGAGAATATGACGGGGATATGCCGTGGTTCGGTTACAGAATCACATTTTAGCAAATTAAGAAAGATAACGGTTGAAACTTGTAATCAACTAAAGAATTTATTCTCCTACTCTATAGCCAAAAATCTTCTCCAACTCCAAGAAATTAGAGTGACAAACTGCAAAAACATGGAAGAGATTGTTGATGACAAGGAGCAAGGGGGCAAAATTGATAAGGAACTGTGGTCCTTGAGATTAGAAGACCTACCAAATTTGATTGGCTTCAACAGTAGTTGCAAGAAAAAGTCACTTTTCGAAGAACAGGTGTCTGATTAATTTCTTTTATTTCATTTTTGTTCTCGTCCACGCCATCTCCTCTGCATTACTCGTTTGTATTCTAGTTAGACATACCTAATCTCTACAAATTTTAACGTGCCCATACTTTTTTTTTTTTTTCAATCAACAAAATGAGAAGCACTTATTAGGAAAATATCATTGTATATTATGCAGGTTGCATCTTCCAGTGCTGGTCAGCAGTTTGGATCTTTCAGTGCTGGTAAACTGAAGAAATTGATCATTAAGGGATGTGATAACTTGGAATACATATTCTCATCTTCTATGGCTCAAGGTCTAAATATGCTGGAACACCTTGAAATAAGGAAATGCAGGAGAATGAAAGAGGTCATTTTTACAGATAATAATGGAGAAGAAAAGAATTTGATTGTCCCTCAGTTGAACATTCTGGAGATAGAAGACCTTGAAGACTTTGTCAATTTCTATTCAGGAAAGTGTATTATTGAATTCAAAAAATTGAAGAAACTGCAAGTGTTGAACTGCCCAAAATTGGAGGGATTCATTGCAAACACACAGACACTATTTAATGAACAGGTACGTTTTCCTCATATAACTTACATTGTGGCTTTAAGTCTGGAAACTCTGCACCCGTCCTCATCCTTTCACAGATTGGACAGATTGCATTTTGACTACAATTTTAGACAAATTGTTAAATCTATTTAACTAATTAAAACGAAAAAATAAATGCATTTAATAAATTGCATTCTAACTTTCTTTGAAAAAAAAGCCGAGGATGAAAAAGAAATTGTTATCCAAAATAGGGGCATTCATATTCGATTCGAACCAATTGATTCGATCCAAAAAGATCTAAACAAATTAAGGATTGGTTTTGAAAAAATTTCAATTAATAAAATTAGTTCAATTTGTGCTTTTAGCTTCAATTGATGGAACCAAACTAATTAAAAAAATAATTTAATTAAATAATATTATTTTTCTCCTTTTCCTATTTTATTTATGAATTATACATTATTTTGTAGGTTTATAGTACTTACTTTTGTGGGATTACTTGGTTTAGGTTGTTGAATGGTCATTAACTTCTTTTCATTTTTTTTTTTATCTTGAATTGCACAATGGGAGACAACTCTCTCACTTCCTTAACCCTCCCCACCCTTATGTTTTGAGACTTGAATTCAAAATCTTTTACTTCTAGTGGAAGGCCACTAAACTATTTAGGTCATTGACACCTTCTTTCCATTTTGAACACTGATAATTAGATTTCTAGATTTATTTGTTGCATTATACTACTTCTATTTCTTGAACTTAGTCTCTTGTAGTTTTCATTGCTGGGCAAAGTAGATCAAGATACTTAATTAACGATATGGCAATGCAGAGTATTAGATCTATAGGTTTAGTTTGTTCCATGATAAGTATAAAACCGTTTAATTCAATCACAACCGAACCAAACCAATCTAAGTTGAATTTCTTTGAGTATAGTACGTACATTAATGTTTATAAACTAAATCTGTAAAAATATTAAACAAAAAAAATTTCAAAAGTACATCATTTCAATCAAACACATAGAAATATATTAAAGTACTCTTCATTCATACCCTAACATATGCTTATTTTAGAATTCTGCAATGAAATTTTATAGAAACGACCTAGTTTTAGGTGTTTTTCTACTAAAATTTTTACAGTTCCAATGGATAAACACTTTCCCATTATTATTATTATTATTATTATTTAAAATTTTTAGTGATAGAGATTATTAGAAAATGACAAAACTATTGTTCTTGCCAACAATTGTTGTTAATGAATCATTTTTTTTACCTACATATATCATCCAATAACTGCATGTTATTTCACATTTTTGCTTTGAGATTATGCTTACATTGTTGTTAGTCTAATCAAAGCATGTCATCTAGGAGAAATGCCAATAGTTAAGAGCTTGGATATTTACATTTGAGATCTCAAGTTCGCATTATGAGATAGGAGGGAGGGGTTTGGGGAGGGAAGAGTTATCCCCATTCTATAGCTCATCATCTAAGGTGTCAAAAAATAGTTTAATCAAAGCATAAAAAATTTATATGAAAGGAGATTATATCGGGCTGAGTTTTCCCAACTTGAAGTTATCTTCAATTGGCATTCATCAAAAATGACAGAAACAAGCTTTTCGCAATGTCTTTTTGTCTTTAAGAATTAAGAATCTATTTGCAGGTTGAGTTTCCCAACTTGGAGTTTTTGAGGCTATCTTCACTCAACAGTAAGCAAATCTGGCACATTTCAAGTGAGCAAACGGCTTCTGTTAAAAACTTAAAGAAGTTGTTTGTGGAGGATTGTGGTAATTTGGAGTATCTATTGAGATCCTCTATGATTAAGAGTTTTGAACAACTCAGGGAGCTCAAGATTTTTGACTGTAAGATGATGGAAGGGATAATAAAGGAAGAAGAAAGGATGTGTGAGATTTTCTTTCCAAAGCTGGACACCCTAGAACTTGAAGACCTTCCCAAACTCACAAGATTCAAATGCCTTTCTGCTGCCAGTATTGAAAATGTGGAAAATACTTATATGTCATCTCTCTCCCACGGAAAGGTAATTTCTTCTTTGTTTTCCCCTTTATTTTTCAGTTAGTTACACCTCGTAGATTTTGTACTTTTATATTAGATTCTAAAAATTTTTATTCTAACTAAGAATCTCTTTGAAGGATGAATTTCCCAAGTTGAAGTTGTTGAGACTGTCTTCAATTAACATTCAACAAATCTGTGATCTTTGGACTCCAAAAATCCCTTCTTCTATACAGAATTCAAAAATCTCTCTTCCTATACAGAATTTAAAAAAGTTGTCTGCGGAAGGTTGTGGCAACATGAAATATCTATTAACTTCCTCTATGGTTAAGAGTCTGAAGCAACTCGTAATGCTTAAGATTTGTGATTGTGAAATGATGGAAGCGGTAATAGATTCAGAAGAATCAAATGAAGAAACAATTTTCTTCCCTGAACTGCTCAGCATAGAATTCGTAAACCTTCCGAAGCTCACAAGATTCTATCATGCAGAAAGTAGTGACACACCACCTCTCTTTAACGAAAAGGTAATTTTTCTTCTTTGCCCTTTTTCCCTTTAGTTTTCAATTAGTTTAACCTCATAAAAATTTTGATTTGATCTAAAAATTTATTATTCCAACTAAAAATCTCTTTGCAGGTTGGGTTTCCCAAGTTGAAGATTTTAAGCTTGTCTTCAATTGACATTCAGCAAATCTGGCAAATTTCGATTCAAAAAATCTCTTTAGAAAAGCTTTTTGTGAAGGATTGTGGCAATTTGAAATATCTGTTCTTGTCTTCTATGGTTAAGAGTTTTGAGCAACTCATAGTGCTCAAGATTTGTGACTGCAAGATGATGGAACAGGTAATCGGCTCAAATGAATTAGTGGAAGAAGAAATGATGTGTGGGATTTTCTTCTCTAAACTGGACACCCTAGAACTTGAAGACCTTCCCAAACTTGCAAGATTGTGTCATGGAAATTACTCTAAATTTAAGTTCTCCAAGCTTAGACGGTTCACCATAAGCAAGTGTGCTGTGTTGAAGACGCTTATAGGAGACAATACAATCGACACTGAAAATGTGGAAAATACTTATGCACCATCTCTCTTTGATGAAAAGGTGTATCTTCTGTATGTTTTTCCCTTTTATTTACAATTAGTTTCACTTCATAAAACTTTTAAAATTTTAAATTAGATTCTAAAAATTTATTATTTTATAATCTTTTTATGTGTTCCCTTTCTCTGATTCTAGTTGAATTATAGTTACTAATGCAATTGGATAAAATTTTTAGGTGGAATTCCCTAAATTAGAGCAGGTGATAATCAAGTTTATGGGGAGTTGGTACAAGATATGGGACGACAAACATGATGTGAATTCTTGTTGCCAACTAAATTCTCTTACTGTGGATTCATGTGAAAAGCTGTTGAATATTTTCCCATTTAGTATGCTGGAAAGAGTACGTCAGAAGCTAGAAACACTGGAGATACAGAATTGTGATTCACTAGAAGAGATATTTGGTGCTAGCCAACCACAAGCTCAGATAACCACTCAACCAACTAATTTGGTGGAAATTGTCCCAATGTTTCTCTTTCCAGAGTTGACACACATAAATCTTTCTAAGCTACCCAAACTGAAAGGCTTCGTCCCTCAAATTCATATTAATGAATTGCCATCATTGAAACAAGTACAGGTGCACGGATGTGATGAAGTTCAGATATTTGCTTTAGAACACTCAAGTTACCAACTTGAAATTCCGATTCAGTGGATAAGCAAGGTAAAAGCACTGATATTCCAAAAATAGAAAAAAAAATGCACGCGTAGAATGGACTTGCTTTTGATTTAAAGCCATTTTTTTTTTCACTGTGAACATATTCAAATTGAGGTCTACAATTAATGTTTTGCCATTTTTATATTCTTCCAGTTGGCTTTTATGAAAAATCAAGCTATTTTTTTGAACTAATTGGAAATAAATAATTATTTATATATATTAACTTGAAGTAAATTTTCTGAATTTAACTT